ATACGCCCCTGAATCATTGGCACATCAATTCAAAAGTTTTATGGTCGGGAGGAACAAAAATTTAAAACAATATGATATATAGTTAAGAAATGGTTATCAAGGGCGTATATTTATCATTACCGTCTATTGTGAACGCTGAAAGATGTGTACATGGTTTTGTTTCTTGATTTGAACCAGGACAATCGGACGCTGCTCCATTTGACAGTGGATTTCGACAGACTCGTGTACGTCTTTTAGGGCATGGGCAATGCACCCATCCCCCCCAGGATTCCCATATGCCCTCTGAAAAAAAAAAACCAATCAATATCAACAGTTATTAGCATGTAATATAGGATCAATCTAGTGAGGATATATTAAGTGATAAACGTACCCCAACAAATAAAAGACAACCAATCGAGGCTCGGTTTACAAAGCTTAGGTCCAGTGCAAGGGTTAGATGAACAGGGATTCTATAGAGCAAGAAATACAGTTAGTTAACTGAGATCAATAAATTAGCAACTTGTATTAAGGTAACTGCAGATTACTGCACCTTACTACTACTGCTACTWTTTTTAGAGCTGCTACTTTTGCCGTTATATTGCCTACTGCCAGTGCTACTACCCCTGTCTGACGCTGCTGCTGCTYCTGTGACTGACTCCTGCTACTGCTACTTCTAGTACAGCGACTATTGCACCTGTCACTMCTACCGCCAAAGGGCAATACAAACAGAATATTATTCTCGATCTTTTATACATTACCTTTATAGGGCAATATTCGTAACCTGGCTTGTCGCTGATTTTGAGGAGTGAAAGGGACGTCGAGTGATCATATCTATTCAGCTCACACAGTCTTACGGGCCCTTTGACTGGACCCAAGTTGTACGACACGCAATCSCTYTGCATGTAGCAGTTTGTTTGACACTCATCCACGCTGATCGTRTTGAAGCTCCTTATCACGTGACCTATTAGTGCTTTGTCTTTGAGRCATTTGAGATACTCTAAATCTTTGCAGACTGTATTTCCTGTGTAAAGATTAAACGGCTTGTTGTATGATCAACAGTTTGACACTAGTGACGTCATACTTGTTTGGTTGGCGAAGTGCATCATGGTATTGATTAAAGTATAAATCCAAGATGGCGGATGTCACAATAGAATCTACCATAGTTGATATTAAAATGAGACTATGTAGCAAAATTGAAGTTTCCATGGAAAAACTAGAGTTTRCATAATCCGCGCTAGTTGTCAAGAATTCTATAAATAAAACTRAAAGTCAAACAAATACTAGAAAATACTAAGAGATTTGTATCAACTTGTTCTTCGTATATCCCATAGTGGTGGCTCAATGGTGCATTTCTCTAACATCGCATGACGTCTTAAGGGGAAAAAACCATTATATGGGATGAGTCAATGTACGATTTTGCAACCGRATAAAGGCCCTATGAGGACAAACATGTACGGACGAGTTGAAACGGTCATGARAGTTTCTCAGTGCTAGCTGTYGTTAAATGATTATATTCGGTTGCATGATATRCTTATAGCTTTGAATAATTTATATGAAAGACCGACGTGGCATGCTGTACGGCTCCTTGCTGGCTCGTCACCCCCGCATACGCCCGCGCGAAAACATGCTGTCTTGATTATGTCAAGCTCGAGTGAAGTTCAGGTATTTTCGCTTTAACTAAAACAAGCCATCAAGAATCTTTAAATAAACACTTCACCCAATTTGAGCCGAAAAAGAAACGTAGTTTAGTGCAATCAAAATGAAAATAATATTAAAGTCTTGCGAGGCCAAAATACTCGTAWTATCAAAGRATAATTCTTARCCATTTTARCGAAAACGAAGTACTTATAACTACATGCGGCGACATCTGCTCGATGATGACCGACTACGCACTTTGTTACATCGCTATATGGTGCATTCATAGTGTAGCTAACTTGATTTTGGGCCAGACAAGTTCAAGGTTTAAAAGCCGCAGCATGYTTTCATATTTGTGCCAAATATTTCAACAATATTGTAGGCTAAGAAAGAAAAATAGATTATATATTCCGATAAATTGAAATGCCAGCGGAAAAATGCAGTAAAACAAAATGTATTGRAAGCCATTTTGGCACAAATTCGTTTTGAGTTTCAATTATTAATCAAAAATTTACAAAACTAGCATGAGTCCGCATTCTTTTGTTATTTTCGTTCATATGGGTATTTTCAAATCCCACACAGGCGATTCCATATATTTTTCAAGTGAGTAACATTTCACTCCCTACATATTTTCGGAGTATTCTCATAAATCTGATATTTCATTCATTTCGGTAAAAGAATCTAATAAAAATTCTACAATGGAAAATGAGAAATTTCAGTTAACTTTAAGAAGTCATATATGTGTTTCAGTTGCACATGCCTGTCATGCAAAAATCRCGATGTTGTCTCAGCATGCAAATCGTCGCCCGTTTGTGCACATGCCGTTAATTTTGCAAAAGATCGCTTCTTGTCTTAAAGAATTGCTTTTATACTTGTAAATAGAAAAATAAGAAACAAAGTGACTTTTTGTTTACAAGTTGACAAACTAAATTGCGTAGATTATCGAAAGTCGGCACAATTTACATTAATTTTAAGAACACTTTCTTTTTTTCTTTTATTCTCCCAGTAAAATCGTTGGAATGGCGGGAAATGTGTGCACTTGGTATAAATAGAGAACACCGGCTTTAAACAAACTTTAGTTGACTGGCACATGATAACGATAGGATAGTTATTTTAATTACAAAAATTGTGCATCATCAAGCCAAATGAGAGCAATTTTCTTTTACCCGCTAATGTCACCTAATGATAACATGTCACCTAATGTCACCTAACAAATAATAGTGTGTCAATTAACGCGCTTCCGATTAATCGTAAAAATGATTCCAGAAACATAATTTTTACGGCTCTTCCTTAAAAAAAATTGGGTTGGGAAAATAAGAAGCATACATTGCGATTGAACTTTGAAGAGGGTTATGTGGTGGGAAATGACGATCTGTGTTGAAATGTGAGGGGTTTGTATCTCGTACCCTATACGATATTTCAATAGGCGCACAAGAGCCGTTTTTATACACGTTACTTTGACAGAAACAGACTTCGTAAATCACAGTTGCTGGATAATTCTAGCGCCACTGCAGGATACGCAAATCAGCAAGTGAAACATTTTTGTAGAACGGAAAACTTAATTATAGACTGACCAAAAACTAAACAAGCGCAATCACTAGAACCAACATTCTTAAACACTTTTTGAAGGGTATTTTTGATCGGAGATACTATTTAACAGCTAATCGAGAACGTTTAAACTGCATGATTTAGCTTAAAAGCGATAATGCGCGGGAGTCAGATCCCCCTAATGCCCCCTCTTTACATCCAAAAAATGACAAAAAAAACAGAAACCATGCAAAATATGATTTGAAAATGGGAATAAGAGCTGGAGGGAAACGCAATAGTCACTACATCTCTTTCTAAGTTACGTCGTTCCTTTTTCCTACAACTTTCTTTCGGTTTTCTACTGTAGCGCGTTCCTAGTTTTCGAAGTTCGTATTGCTAACATTTCTGAATTTTTTAAAGTCAGTTAAGCCGCTTAGAGGTTTATGACTAGGAAGTTCAAAGCAATCAAATTATCATGTCATTTTCTAAATAATCAGTCGGAGTTACTAGGTTCATCAAAACTGATGTCAGATTCTTTACACTGAATTGTTGCTCTTTAATTGAAAGCCGTTTAAAAAAAGTTAAGCTCGGTCCACTTTGAGGCATTTATTACACTGAACGTATTCAGAATACAACGAGAAATGTAAAAACATATATAAATATTACACATTGAAAGTAAAGGTTAATATCGAAGTAGTTGTAGTTGTCGTTTTTTAAGTAAAAACAAGGTGTAAAGTATAGTGAAAAGGCTTAATGAGACTTTTGAAAGTTTTGGAGATATCGTATTCTAAAAACTGATAGTGTAACATACAATGTGTTAAAATTTGTACCTTTTATAATCCCAAAAAGCAAGAAAATCCAAACGCAGAAATATTCCACGACCATGTCGTCGACCATGTCGTCAGTTTGATCGAGTAGAACTGTTGACTATATCGTTAATTAGCGTGTTTTTATGATAATATTGATGTACAATAAATTATTTACAATTTTTTTTGGTCGTTTTGCATGTCCAAACCCAACCCATTTGACAAACGACACGGCACGGCATGTTTTAACACTGGTATAAAATAAAAAAAATGACTTCGATATTGTTATGCAGTGACTGATTCATCGTTCAGAACGCAGTCCATGCAATTGATAATGAACCCAGCATGAAGTCAGCGCGGAAGCTTGTGAGATGTTTCAGTAACTATTTGTACGCGTGTTACATTGTCTTTCTCTCCAGGAAACTTTGCCTATAATAATACAAAATAAAAACAACAACAAAAACATGCATGGGCGAATCAGCGAACTATATAATAGAATTTTGTGAGGACAAAGTCACCTTGAGCGRCCTTTTTCTGCTTCAGGGGCACGAGTTTGGACAGAGTTCAACAAACGAAAACATTGGCTCAAACCCACGATAATTCTCRTTTTTCCCTCGAAAGATGACTTAAAAACCTTAGCTAGCAAATTCAAAAAAAACTCCCAAGTATTCGGTAACGAGTGTGACAATTGAAAAAAATTCTTGTCATGCAGTTGGTACCGCGAGTGGAACACAGCTCAGTCCAGAGCCACCAAACAGTCTCGGAATGAATTGATAGTCTGTCATTTCTTCTCTTACACAAAAGATAGAATAAAAGGTTCTATATAGTTATACTGGATTATACTTTTCTCAACGGACAAACKAAGTCTCAATTATATGAATGTGGATATCTTTGAATCTGCTGATTGTCAGTATGGTGGATTTGCAGGTGCATTCGGTCACGTGCCTGTATTTGGGATTCTTAAGTGTATCCTCGAAAACGTACCTCTAGATTCTAATCAACATGTGTAGAGGGAATGTGTAAATCCACAAAAAGAAGTTTATTATATTGAAATATCTATCGTGTGTGGTGGAAGGGACTAGAGAAACCCAATCATTTCATAATGAATCTTCTCTCGCCTCGACGTCAATGGAGCTTAAATTACATGAATTTTAAGGTTGTGGCGTTAATCTATGTGCTAATGGCACTTAGCAGTAAATTGGCACAAAACAGGCTGAAGTAATTATTTTACGTGAAGTAAACACATGAAAAAGAGTTGATGGAAACAAACATTCAGATTCTGGCCGTACGTAGAAATACGAATAAAAGTAGCTCATCGTTCGAACATTATGGGACTATAGTGATTATTTCAATACTAAGTCATAGAAGTTTAAATATTGTAATGAAATKTTTAGTATATCTCTTGTTCTTAATAATTAAACAGCGCACAGAATTTCAAGACTTTCTAAATTACGCCTTCAATAGCCACTCGCTGTTTAGGACCATAGCCAACCGCCATCCTTTGCGAGGTTCTATTTGTTTTGAAAATAAAGTGCCTTAACAAAAACATATTTTAGATTTTCTGAGTTTGCAATCTATACTTRCAGTTTAGTAGGTCGATTTTTATATACCAACGTATACTTTATTTCAGTAATCATGGTTATATGTTTGACAAAATAAGTTTCCAAGTGCTGATTAGGTCTCCCATGCTTAAATTATCACATTAATTAAAAAAAAAAAACTATTATAGTATTGCAATCATTATTTAATAGAGTTAACCTGACATGACACGGGACAGCACTATCTAAAAATAAAGAATTAGTAATGTACGTGCTGGTAATAAATCGTAAATATTCTCTAAATATTCACTTAAGTGTATCCATGAAGATATGGGAGCGGGCAGCAACGCGGTACTAGTCTCCTCTCGCAGCCGTTAGGACGTTCGTTCCCAGGTCACTCCGACCTGGGAACGAACGTCCTAACGGCTGCGAGAGGAGACTACGCGGTACCGACTCAAAAGTCCCTGAGGCAGAACATTAGAGACTTGGGATTTCCCAGGCTAATTATCTTCGGGATTGTTTTTAAGTGGTCTGCAATATATATATTTTTTCAACCTAATCACGTTGCAGTGGCGTTTTTTATCGGCCTAATTGTGAAAACGATGTGAAAATACTGCGGGAACCGCAACAACAAGAAAACAAGTGAAATAGATTAATAAACGATGATGGATATAAACACATCCATTTTCGATCGCAAACAAAAATATAAATATGAAAAAGATAAGTTTATATGAATCCAAAGTCGTGTTTGATTTAGGCTGTTTGTCCGCAAGAATACAATCGTACAGGCAAACGTCGGCAAACGCTAGAAAACCGCCGGCATACTTCAGCATGTTCAATTCATACGAAAACAACCACAAGTCACTACTTAAATATAGCATTTTCGAAAATATGCGTTACGGTTAGCGTTTTCATCATTTTTGTTTTGTATGAAAGGCCTAAACGCCACACAAGAAAATAGCGTTTACGAGAGTTCGCGTACGTCGTTGAAGCGCGGTATATTTTTCACATTATTCTCTGCTAACAGAGGTTTCCATGACATAGCCTTTGTTATCAGGGAAGAGCGGATAGGGCCTAAGAGTAACACTGTTTATGAGCCATTACTAATATTGGTTATAGAGATTCATCAAAATTTAACAAATATTATATACATATGAACATATGATTCAGAAATGGAAAGAGTAGGTTTACGGCTGGTAAAATGGCAAAGTCTCAAGTCTCAACTCTAAATCCCCACTTTGTTATTTGGCTTTGTTGATCTTGATCTGTATTTTTTTTGAACAATTTACATAATTTCACTTATAAAGGATATTTCAAAACCAAAAAGTAGATGACTCAAATGTTCTTTGTCTAATAACTACTTTTGTTTTTCTAAATGTAAAAGACACAGTTTTTAATACCAGACTCTAAAGACACTTAAAGCTTCACCATAAATGTGTCTTTGCAATAAGTAAATAGCATTTTCAAATACTGCACTTATAGAGCACTGACTTCATGCAGTAAAGAGTATATAGTTAACAATCATAGAAAATTTGACTACTTGTATTTGTAAGTCAAATTCCACATAAAAAGACACTAATACACATCCAAATAGATCTTAAATGTAACCATTGGGTGATACCCTAAGACCCCATCAAATTATCATCCAAATTTCCTTAAGTCGCCTTAAGACGCCTTAAGTTGCGGCGACTTAATTAAGGCGACGTTCTGGCCCGGAGTAGGCCTTTTCTCGCACTTCAAATCGTACGTGTAAACAGCCCCGCGATTGTCGCAAAAATCGCTGCGAGTTGCAGCTAAATTTCAAGCATGTTCGAAACTAAGGCGATTGTTGTGCGACAATCGCGCTGCAAAAATTGCAAGCAAAAGTTGCAAGTGTAAACGGACCTTTACAAATTGTGCATAGTCCTTGTTTTAATTACGTTTTACGGGCTTTGAACCTGGTTATGGAATTGCATTAAATATTATATCGTTTTCAACGATTTTACTCTGGAACAGGCTATAGTTTTCAGGGATTTCACCAGGGTCAGAGTTTTGAGGTCCCAGTAGCACACCCCCACCCGGGTTGCACATAGGTTTAGGACAACTGTCATAGAAATAATTCATGCGCTCATGAATGTTAAGCTAGGCGACATAAGATATCATTAAGATTATATTATAGGTGTTCTTGGGGAAAACTAGGTAGTCAAGTGACTAATGTCGCATAACATATGTATGGGAAAATATACAACTAAAGGTCAATATATTCCCGTGTCCAGTGCATGTACACACTTGGGTGTCTCCGTAAAACCACAAAACCAATGATTATAAATACGCCGGCTCGCAATATGACCTTCAAGAGAGGAGTTGAATCAAAAATATGGATATAATTGCGATATACAGAAAACTATTCAAGCGAATTTCAAGGGTACTGCCTTTTCATCGAGGTGTGGCGGAGGGGGGGGGGTACTCGACCCTGTTTTGGATAGGTACGTGCCGCCAGCGGTCTAAAACCCTGACCCTGTTTAAGACACTAAAAAGTAAAAATCCATACCCTGTTCAAGACAAATCGGAAAAATAAGAGGAATCGGTATCTACGCCGCAACCATCAAAACTGTAGWTATACTGACAACACGTTAATCCTGTTACAGTGAAACGTTATTTCTACTATTTCTACGGTATTTCTTACGAAAATATTACCCTGTCCAAGACACACAAAAAATTATCTCGGTCTTTTATCTAAATTGTAGAGCCTGTTTAAGACAATTTCGGGTGAAATGTATATTTAAAGACGTTACAGCTGTAAGTACGGACTCTTCTCGCATAGTGATGTTATGAGACAAACATTATTAAACTAGACGCTCTTAGAGCGTGAAGTTGGGCTATCTATTTTTGAACGGGTTAATGAAAACCACTCTAAGACGTATTACGTTGTAACAGTAATATTTGAAAACCTTTCTTTTCAGGGCTGTGTGATGCTCTTTTTCTCAGCATGTCAAGTCAACAAACACCGCTACTACCGAACTTAGTTAAAATTGACTTGTCACATTGTATACTAGTGAAGGATTCTTTTGTCATGAAGTTGGGCGTATGCCCTAAGCTAAGACTGCTCAATCTTAGAAAGTGCTTCAATATATCTGGTGAATTTTTGCCCGTGTTACTGGAAAGTTCATCTTTTTTGGAAACACTCATTCTCGATGGTACAAGTATAGAAGACGAGCATTTACAGCAGGTTTCTTGGAGAAACACAAAAATCAAGTATTTAGAAATGGGGTGGTGTCCCCTTCTTACTAAGGAAGGATTA